GCTTGCCGCTGAGTGACAAGTGATTCTCAACGGGTTTTCTTTACTTGTTACCAGGCTCAAAGGATTTGAGGATAGTAATAATAGACTTTTCATCATGGACGATATGCTTTAGTTAACAATAATGTTTACACAAAAGAGCTTTGAAGTCTGTGGCATAGAGATGCCTCTACATAAATTAGTGCTTGTATGCGTTTATAAAACACCTACATCTGATCCAAATATTTTTTTAAACAAATTAGACCTACTATTGCATGAATTATTAAGAAACCCTAAGTCTGATACAAAAGTTGCTGTGACGGGCGATTTTAACATCGATACGCTGAAACAAGGAAAAATATCAAATTACCTCCAAGATATATGTCTAAATCATAACCTAAAAATACATATTAAGGTACCAACACGCAAAAACTCATGCATAGACCACATGCTAAGTAACATTATAGACGCTAACGCTACGGTATTACCTCTATACTTATCCGACCACGATACAGCTCAATTATTGTGTTTCCCTGTGCAAAGAAAAAATGAAAAACCAAACTCATACACAGTACTTAGAAAGGACTACAGTTGCGAAAATATTTTCAAATTCAGGGAGTGCCTAAAAAGCATAACTTGGTCTGATGTATACGCAGATATGAGTCTAAACTCTGCCTTCAACAAGTTTCATGAACTATTGTGCATGTTTTATAATCTGTGTTTTCCTTTAATTAAAATTAAAGTTTACAACAATCATAGGAACACACAAAATTGGATTACCAAAGGCCTAGGAACAAGCTGTAAAACTAAACGGTCACTAAGGTATAAATATTATAAAAATAAAACAGCAATCAATAAAATCAAATATATAAATTACTCGAAAGTATTAAAAAAAATATTAATACCTCCAAAAGGAATTCACACATAAAATATATATATATATATAAAAGTAAAAACAAATGCAAAGCGACATGGAATGTAATAAAAAAGGAAATTGGTGGTTTAAAATGTGACAATATTATAAGTGAAATAAGTTTAAACAAAAAACAATTGACACATCCTTTTGACATAGCCTCAGCTTTTAATGAGCATTTTATTGAATTGACAAATACAAAAAACCTGACGACAAATAATATACAAAAAACAACTGCTAAAAGCAAACTTATACCAAACACGATGTTTCTTCTTCCGACTTCAAAAGAAGAAGTAAAAAAAGAAATTATGGGTTTGAACAACACCAACTCAGAAGGCTTTGATGGAATCAGTACCAGAATAATTAAAATGTGTATTGATGAACTAGTGCCTATATTGACGTATTTAATTAATCTATCATTTTCATCTGGTACGTTTCCGGAAGCATTAAAACAATCAGTCGTCAAACCATTGTACAAAAAGGGTAAAAAAAAAATGACGTCAAAAATTATCGCCCAATTACTCTTATACCTTTCTATCAAAGGTGTTTGAGAAATGTATGCACCTGAGAATACTTAATTATTGCAACACATACAACATCATTAGTAAGGATCAATTCGGTTTCCAAAAAGATAAGTCGACAACTTTAGCAACATTTACTCTTGTACAAACAATACTCACAAAATTGAATGAAGGTTATCTAACAACAGGTCTATTTTTTGACTTGTCCAAGGCATTTGATTTTGTAGACCACGACCTCTTATTAAATAAACTTGAAACGATTGGTATAAGAGGACCTACACTACAGTGGCTATCATCCTACTTGAAGAATCGATGTCAGCGCGTTACTGTTAACAAAATCATAAATAGCGAACTGGTGACATGTTCTTCTACCCTAAAAAATAACTCGTGTGGTATCCCTCAGGGAAGTGTCCTAGGTCCACTTATGTTTATATTGTACATAAATGACATAACCAAAGTTACTGGTCATAAATGTATCTTGTTTGCCAATGACATATCAATAATTGTGACATCAGAAAAAAATAAATACAATTCAATACATGACCACGAAATTGAGATTAATAATACTATTGACAACATTATTAAATGGCTAGAGGAAAATAATCTAAAATTAAATTTAGATAAATCAAATTTCATTCAATTTAATAAATCCAAATATGATAAATACAATTTTAACATTGATATTAAAAAGATTAAAGAAATTACACATACTAAGTTCTTAGGTATAACGATAGACCAAGATCTTAACTGGAAATTACACATTGAGGCCTTATGCAAGCGTATTAACAGCTTTGTTTATGCTCTTTATAAAACAAGGAGCGTAACTAACTTGCAAACAGCCATTACCACTTACCACGCGTATGTAGCCTCCATTCTACGTTATGGTGTGATGATATGGGGCAATAGTACTGAGAGACAAAGGGTATTTATAGCGCAAAAAAAAATGCATCAGAGCTATATGTGGGATTCCACCGGGCGAGTCCTGTAGAGCAGCGTTTTGGAGTCTGGGCTTACTTCCTTTGCCAGCACTGTACATCTTTGAAATGAGTTGTTTTGTTAAACGCCATACTGAGCTCTTTTAGAAAGCCAAAGATATAAACTCTCGATGGAAAAGAAATCCGGAGCGATTAGTATTAAGCGTCATTCCAAGATCTGCTAAATTCAGAAAAAGTTGTTTAGCAATGTGTGTTAAGGTGTTTAATAAGATCCCCAATGACATCAAAAACCTCAAAATGAATTTATTCAAATCGAGACTCTAAAAGTGGCTTATTGAACTCAAAGTGTATGACATTGAAGAATTTATTGACATTAAGCTTTAATAATTATTGATTTGTTGACATTGCTTTAATGAATATATTTGACCCCTTTGAAATAAATGTTACCTGAATGTAATCTTAAATTTGCATGCCAATTATAAGCAAAACATGTGAACTTATTTTACTGTACCACCTACAAACACCATGTTTTAAGCAAATAAAGAAATTATTATTATTATTATTATTATGTGGGGTATCTATATAGTTTTCTCATCTGGTTGGGATGTATAAATATATAATTATAAACGAAAATGAAAAGATAAACATATATAAATATCAATAAAATAAAAAAAATAAAAAAAATACATAAATAAATAAAAGCCCAACCAGATGGAAGCCCTCGGCAGGGGAGACCAAACGGCCGAGGGTTAGGGGGAAAGGGAAAGAAACCGGCGGACGATGCGGGCGGTATCGAGGAGCACCGCCTTCCGCATTTGAGCCTGGAGCGGTCGGCCACGTAGTCCCAGCCGCCTCAGATGACCCGAGAGGCTGACTGGGATTAGCCCGTTTGCTGAGACGACTACAGGAATAATTTCGGTCGGCAGACCACCCCACATGTCGGTCACCTCGTGAGCCAGGTCCAGATATTTTGTTTGGTCTCGGTCTGCCAGGTTTTGCTCGGTGACAGTAATAGATGGCTCCAGCTCAGTAAAAAGACGATGCATCCTAGCCCGATACGCGAAACCTCCAATTTCTCCCCCTTTCGCCCTAAAATACGCCCGCAATGCGTTTGTATTCATATTGATGGTCCATCGCATGCGGCGTACTCCACCAGTGGCGGATGCCGATTGCTGGGTCTGCGAAGACCCTGCCAACACCAAGCAAGCTGGTGGGGATGATGGATGCGAGGGGCTGCTGGGTGGTCGTGCAGCACCTCGCGCTCGGCTGGCGGTTCGCATGCTGTCGCGTCCAGCACCAGCTCCAGACGCGCCCTGACGACCTCCAGGCAGCGGCCCTTTGCGCAATCTTCTGTGTTCCATCATCCATACAGGGCGTTATTTAACGGGAGACGCCCAGACCCGGCGCCGTTTCATGGTGATTTTATTATTATTTACGGTAAGTGTTTTCACTTCTCAGCTCTAGGCTGGATTTCAACTACATTTACGGGCCGAAGCCAAAGCAAATGCAGCGTGTGGTGTGTAGTGTAGTTCATGTGATTTGATGAGGTCCTATTTCGTTTTCTTCTATCTGCATGAATTTCCTAACTATTCTGCATGTATTTAATATAGCTGCTTTTTGAAGTGTAATATATAGAGTTTCTTTTAGTTGTAATAATTTTAAGCTACGGAGGAGATGATTTGGGATGACACCTGTTGTGGAGAGGACTATAGGGACCACATATACTTTTTCTTGTTGCCAGATTCTAGTCACTTCATCTTTAAGTTCTGCGTACTTACAAATTTTTTCAGTTATCGTCTTCTGCAAGTTGTGTGTGTTGGGGACTGCAATGTCTATCAGGTAAGTAATATTATTTATTTTATCTTGTAGAATTATATCTGGTCGGTTATAGTGGATTGTCCTATCGGTGAGAATGCCGCGGTCGTAAAAAAGTTTATGTGTGGTGTTTTCTAGAGTATGTTTTGGTCTATAATTGTAGTACGGAGTGTTGGCATCTGGAATGAGTGCGTGTTTGAGTGCTAGTTTTTGATGAATGACATTGGCCACCTGGTTGTGTCTGTGAGTGTAGTCAGTCTGTGTGAGAGTTGTGCATGCGCCTGTGATGTGTTGAATGGTTTCTGGATGTGTGTGGCATTTGCGACATTTGTCATTATTTACTGTAGGATCTTTGATTATATATTTTCTGTAATTTTTTGTGTTTATGATCTGGTCTTGAATAGCTATTATAAATCCTTCTGTTTCTGGAAATAAGTTGCCTATTTTCAGCCACTTATTTGAAGCTAACTTATTTATGTGGGATTGCTCTAAGTCATGAGGGTGCCGACCGTGGAGAACTTTCTTCTTCCATTTATATTGTTATTATTATTATTATTATTAAATATTTGTGGCTCGCAACTTCACATATGGTTACATACATTTATTTTTCCTTAAATAAAATTATTAACACATTACAACACTGTTTTAAAATATAGTTCATTTTAAAGTTGATTGAAATCATACAATTTTATACTAAGTTTTTACATCCTAAATTATTATATACATTGTTATAAAATCATAAAACATTCCAATATATTTGAATAACTTATGTATTACACAACAAGAAATTAATAAGAGATTTATCAAAACGACCCTTAATTAACAATTAGCAACACTGTGTTATTTTTTGCTTCTTAACAATTGTTTTTGTATTTGGTCTTGGGTGAGACCTTTAGTTTCAGGTACGAGGAAGTAGCTAACGAAACTATTTAAAACGGCGCAGCAAGCGAATATGTAAAAAGAGCCGTGGATACCGATGTATTTGATCATAAAAGGGAAGACTCCAATAACGAAGAAGTTGACAAGCCAGACCAATTCCAGTAGTAGTATAATCGCTAAACTTTGTACCTGAAAATGGATTAATGAGGTATATATAATTTTAATCGATTTTGCACACCTGCAAAACGAAACGTAGAGGTTGGGTTTTAATATCGATAAATATAAAACAAAATATCTGGACTTGGCTCACCAGGTGATCGACATGTGGGGTGGTCAGCCGACTAAAATTATTCCTGTAGTCGCCTCTACGTACGGGTTAATCCCAGTCAGCCTCTCGGGTAATCTGAGGCGATTGGGACTCTATGACGGACCACTTCGGGCTCAAATGCAAAGAAGGCGGTACTCCTAGATACCGCCCGCATCGTCCGCCGGTTTCTTTCCCTTTCCCTCTAACACTATGCCTTTTGGTCATGTACCATGCGACCTTAGCACTAAAAGTGATCTCTTCCAGGCAACATTTACCACTAAACTGAGATTTTTCCTGTATTGCAGAAGTGTTGTTTATACATAAATTGTACAATATAACATCCAGACCTATAACAATACTTTGTAGACCATACAAACACGTGCTCTGTGCGGGATTCGGACCCGCGTCTCTACAGCACTACAACCAAAAATGCCAAATAGCAGTGTAATGGTAACGTTGCGCGTCATAATTAATGCCTGTCAATGCCATTAGCGCCACCTAGTATCGAGTAGCAGAACAAGGAGAGTTTTCTGGAAAATGTCATGCTAGAACTTTCCCGCTAGTGCCATCTAGTATCGAGTGTGGGAAATAGGAGAGAACTTTCTACACTTTGTCGGTTGGGATCGGTATGTGCTCAAACATTCCAGATGTTTCAGTGCAAAAGGCCTATATAAGGCCAGTTGAGACCGCAACCGGGGGAGAATCGACTTGGCAATCCAAGCGAATACTTCGAAGCGATATAACTGTGAACTAAAATATTAAGTGTAAAATGTAATTGTAACTATTAGTGTGTTTTTTAATTTATAATTGGTGTTCGGGAATTAAAGTGTCAATTTGGTAATTCAATCGGCAGTTTTAATTGGTACGAACCCTAAGCTCGTAACAGTAGGGGTGCGAAGTCAGAAGTCCTCCACGTGTGCCTGGTAGTTGCGGGTCCCTCTCGATACGTCTGGAGGGAAGAGCAGCTACTGGGCCGGTGCACCCTAGGCGCGGCGGTAATCTTCCTCGAGAAATGAGAAGAAATTCTTATTCCTTGGGGAATGTTGCTGCCGCGGCTAATTATTCTGACATGGGTGGGGTCCGTCCCGGACCAACAGTGCGTTCCTCTGCGTGACCTTCTGATCAGCAGAGGGCATAGCAGAGGAGTGAGGGCGGGCTCGGTGTGCACTTACCCTGCCTCCGGGCAGACAGTGAAGGATTCATCCTCTGCTGTCACCGCCGGTCTCGTAATCCCAGTATCGAAGTGTCGAAGATCAGGTCTCGCGGCTTTGATAGGGACCGAGGGTCTTGGCTTAATCGCCCGGACCGCGAGGGAGAAAACCTCTATAAAAAGTTACTCCGAATCCCAAGCGGCGACGTACCGCGAGGGAATGGATGGCTGACGGGGTTCTATGAACAAATCAGCCGCTAGTGCGCTCCTCGCCAGGGTACCTGCAGACCCTCTGGCGAGTAATAAATCCTCTAAATCTGCTTACCTTGGTACAGGGGTCTCTGCCAAGGTGGACCTTTAATTCCCCCATACTCGTGGGTTAAAAAACGGAACAAAATGAACAAAATGAAACAAAAACCAAAACCGCCGGCAACGGCAGCGTAGAGGAGAGGAGGAACGATGCGGGGACGGAGTCCGACGCCGCATCGAGCAGCGTGGGAGGCCCAGAGAGCTCCCGACGCGTGGGGCCTGGGACCGCGGAGACCAGTAAGTTCTTCCGCAAGCGGTCCAGGCAGGATGGCGACCAGGGGCCGTAATCCGGTGAAGAGGAGGTTTCGGCCCGGAAAATCCCCACCAACAGGCGGGGCGGGCTGAGAGGCAAGGGGAATGCCAATCAGAAGGCCGAACGAGCGGCAAAGCTTGCCGAGGAGGGGGCGCCACCCGGGCGATACGGCTCGGGTATCAGGCGAAGAGACGAGTGCGACTGGCGGCTCCAAGGTGGAGCGTAAGGCCAGATTCGTAAAGGAGGTGGAGGCCACGATCAAGGTCGTGGCCTACAAGCAAAAGCCCTCCTCGAAGTTCAACGCCATTCCTGGAGCCTCCGCCTCCGGGCCGGGACTAATGCGGACGAGGTGGCGAAGCTGCGGGCGGACGTGGCCCGCCTGACGTCCGCCATGGAGACTCTCCAGAAGGAAAATGAGAAGCTCCGCGCAGACCTGGCCAGTCTACGTGAGCCTGCCTCTCGCGCGGCGCCCCAGACGCAGCGCCCAAGCCAGCCCGTGCCGGTGGAGAACCAGGTTCTGAACCTTGTTCGGCAGGAGCTGGCTGCCTTCTAGCACCGGTTCTCCGTGCTGGAGGGCATCGTCCTGCGCCCCCCCCTAGGGGCAAACAAGACGGCGGCGAGGCCGGCAACGGTCTCGTACGCGGCGGCCACGGCTGCCGCATCCAGGCCGGGGCCGTCCAGCCAGCCCTCGGGCGGGGCTGCAGTTGCCCCTCCCTCCCCTGAAAAGCCGGCTCCGGCAAATCCGGTACCGGCTGAACCGGCTCCGGCTAAGCCGGCGACGGGAAAGAGAGGCAAGACGAAGGCGAAAAAGGGCAAGGCGGCAGCACAGGTGGTGGCTGCACCAGCCCCAGTGCCTGCGGCGAATGTGCCAGCGCCAGCGGCAAGCCAGCTGCCGCAGCCGTCACCGCCTCCCCAGCTCCCTACACCTCCCGCGGCTGAAGCCGGTTGGAAGGTGGTCGAGGACAAAAAGAAGGGGAAGAAGGCAGCCAAAAAGGCCAAAGAGCAGGAGTGGCAGCGCCAGTTCAGGGCGCGCAAGATCGCGGCTAGGCTCCGCGCCCCGAAGACCGCAGCTGTAGTGATTACACTACAGCCGGACGCAGAAAAGAAGGGCGTTACCTACCGCGATTTGCTCGCGAAGGCGAAGGAGGCGGTGGATCTCGGGGAGCTCGAGATCACCGGGGGGCCTCCGGCTCAAAGTTACCCAGACGGAGGCCCGTATGCTTGAGGTCCCCGGGGAATCCAGTGGCGCGACCGCGGACGCTCTGGCTGCTAAGCTCAGAGCGTCTCTGGACGCGGACGAGGCCCGAGTGTCCAGGCCCGTCAGATGCGCAGACCTGCGCATCATGGGTCTGGACGACTCGGTATCGGAGGAGGAGTTGGTGGCCGCCGTCGCCAGGTCCGGGGGGTGCACTACTGACCAGGTCAGGTCAGGCGCCATACGCTCGGACCAACAGGGTATGCATGCCGCCACGGTGTGCTGCACTGTTACGGCGGCCAAAACCATAGTGGAGGGCCGAAGGCTTCTGGTGGGCTGGGTCTCAGCGCAGGTTAAGCTGCTGGAGCCCAGACCTCTGAGGTGCTATCGCTGTCTCATGGGGCACCACGTATCAGTGAGATGCGCCTCGGAGGTTGACCACAGTGGCCTTTGCTTCCGCTGCTGTCAGCCCGGACACATATCGGCGACCTGCTGCGCCACGCCACACTGTGATGCATGTGCGGCGACCGGCAAGCCAGCCGATCACCGGGCCGGAAGCAAGACCTGCGCGCCACCCGCCAAGGCCAAAGCCGCGGGTAGGAGAGGGCCCTCCGCCGCCACCGCCTCTGTGGCCTCCGCCGCAGCCGCGACTGCCGCCGCCGCCGCCGCGACACCGACGCCCGCAGAGGGGCCCCCGTGGAGGAAGCTGAAATGGAATGCCTATAACGGCCCCATTAAGCTTCCTCCAGGCAAATATCAACCACTGCGCCTGCACTCAGGATCTGTTGCTCCAGAGCATGGCGCAGTGGTCGATTAACATCGCTGTGGTCGCTGAGCCGTATTTTGTCTAGCCTAGGGAGGACTGGGTGGCGGACATTAACGGCTCAGTGGCTATCATCTCTTTGGCCGCCGCCGGTACCCCGACCCTTGAAAGTGTCAGGAGGGGTCAGGGGTGCGTAGCAGCACGATTCGGGGAGTTCGTCGTTGTGGGGGTGTACTTCTCCCCGAACCGATCTCTCGTCGAGCTCCACAACTCTCTTGCAGAGCTGAGAGCAGTCGTCGTCGGAAGTTATCCCCTCCCCGTACTTGTCCTCGGGGACTTCAATGCCAAGAACTTGGCTTGGGGTTCTCGTCGTACAGATGTGCGGGGTAGGATGGTGGAAGACTGGGCTCTGGAGACAGGCCTGGTCATCCTAAATCGGGGTTCTGTTCCCACGTGTGTTGGTGGTGGACATCTCGTTCGCTAGCCCCACTCTGTTGCCGCGTGCCATTGACTGGCGTGTCATGGAGGGGGTGGAAACCTACTCCGACCACCGGTACATCCGGTTTGACGTCTCCACCCAGCCCTCGAGTGCGCCAGTCCAACAGGCCCCGAGTAGTCCGCGTTGGGCGCTGAAGCAGCTGGACCGGGAGCTCCTCTTGGAAGCCTCGATCGTGCAGGCCTGGGTGTCATCCCCGGACAGGCCTGCCGACGTCAATGATGAGGCAGGGTGGTTCCAGGAGGCCATGTCCGAGATATGTGACGTGGCAATGCCCCGCGTCCGGCCAGGAAGCGCCCGGCGTCAGGTGTATTAGTGGTCGCGTGAGCTGATGTCTCTGCGTGAGGCGTGTGTCGCCGCGTGGCACCTGTACGCCAGGCATCGCAGGCTCCGCATTCGTCCACCGAATACGGCAGCCATTGAGGCGGAGCTGTACGAGGGATACAGAGCGACGAAGACCGCCCTCCGGGAGGCCTGTGAGGAGATGCTGAAGACTCTCGACAGAGATCCGTGGGGGCGCCCTTACAAGATGGTGCGGGATAAACTCCGCACCTGGGCCCCCCCGCTGACGCAGAGTCTCAGGCCCCAGCTCGTGGAGGACGTGGTGAGCGATCTGTTCCCTGCGCGAGGGGGAACATCCGCCCCCGCCTATGGCTCTGCCACCTGCGGTGCCGGAAGCGGACCACCAAGACGACGACGACATCCCTGAAGGGACCGGGGTATACCTGAGAGTTCCGGTACGTAGGCTCAAGGCCAGGAATACCGCCCCAGGACCCGATGGCTTGCCTGGCAAAGCCTGAGTCCTGGCCTCGGAGGCTCTCGGGCCCCGACTGGAGGGGCTCCTAAGCGCATGCTTGGAGAGAGGCCAATTCCCGCTTCGTTGGAAGACGAATGGGACAGCTGGTCCTCATTCGGAAGCCGGGGCGCCCTGCGGACTCTCCGTTCGCATACCGGCCCGTGGTGCTGCTCGACGAGGTGGGCAAGCTCTTTGAAAGAGTCATTGCAAACCGCCTCGCCGAGCACCTTGCGGGGACGGGGCCGGATCTTGCGGAACACCACTTTGGTTTCCGCAAGAGGCGCTCTACGGTGGACGCCATCATGCGCGTGAGAGCCCTCACGACGGGGGATGCAGTGGCCAGAGGGGGGTTGTCTTGGCGGTGTCTCTCGACATCTCCAACGCCTTCAACTCCATGCCCTGGAGCTGCATTAGAGAGGCACTCCGGTATCACCGGGTGCCGACCTATCTCCGTCGTATAGTCGGGGACTATCTGACGGACAGGGCCGTCATCTACCCCGGTCGCAACGGTGAGTGGAACCGGCGAGAGATGTCGTGCGGTGTCCCACAGGGTTCGGTTCTGGGGCCACCTTTGTGGAACATCGGTTACGACTGGGTGCTGCGCGCCGACCTCCCTACCGGCGTCAGCGTAGTTTGCTACGCTGACGACACGCTGGTACTGGCACAACACACGCGGGGTTGTGATAGTCGTTGAGAGGATTCGGCAACTGGGTCTCGAGGTGGCTCTGCACAAGTCCGAGGCCATGCACTTCCATGGTCCTCGGAACAGGCCACCACCGGGATCCCCAGTGATGGTAGGAGGGGTATCCATCGGCGTCGAGTCGACGCTGAAGTACCTAGGACTCGTCCTCGACGGCCGATGGATCTTCGTTGAGCACTTCCGACGTTTGGCTCCCAAACTGGAACGGACCGGGGCTGCCTTCAGGCGGCTTCTGCCGAACCTGGGGGGGCCAAACGCCTCCTGCCGGAGGCTCTACGCGGGGATCGTGCGATCCATGGCCCTTTACGGGGCCCCGGTGTGGGCGCGTGGTTTGGCGCGGCTTGCCATCCACCACCTGAACGCGCCCCAAAGGGTGGTTGCCGTGAAAATGGTTCGCGGCTACACACGCACGATCTCCCGCGAGGCGGCGAGCCTCCTTGCCGGATTGCCGCCATGGGATCTGGAGGCGATAGTCCTCGCGCGCCTGCACGAATGACGCGCGGAGGCACTATGCCGGGGGAAACCCCACTGCCGCGGCAAGTTGTCGCGCAGCGGACAGACTTCCGGCACGATCTCATGGCGACATGGAGAGAGCGACTGTCGCAACCCCGTGCTGGGCACGCCACTATAGCGGCGATAAGACCCCTCTTTGAGGAGTGGCTTGAGAGACGCCACATCATCCTCACCTACCGCCTGACGCAGTTCCTCACCAGACACGGTGTGTTCGGGAGATTCCTGCACCGAATCGGGCGGGAGGAAACGTCCCCACTGCGAGGATGGACCGGAGGACACGGTGGAACACACCGTGGAGGTGTGCCCTGCTTGGGCTGAGCACCGCCGTGTCCTCGTAGTGGCGATAGGCGGCGGCGACCTCTCGCGTCCGGCCCTGGTCGAAGCCATGGTCCGGAGCGAGACGGAATGGGATGCCATCACCACCTTCTGCGAAGCAGTGATGCTAGCGAAGGAGGTGGCGGAGCGGGAGAAGGAGAGAGCAGCAGCTTTCCTACCCGGCCGCCGCGGGAGACGCCCCGGGCATCGGGGGCTACGTCGTGGCCCCCGGCCACCGTAGGCGCGGGCCTGTGGACGGCGAGCAATGGGTAGCTCGCCGTCCGTCCGTCTAAGACGACAGGCCGTGTCGACGGCGCGTTTTGTTCCACGCGCGCCTCAAAGCGCTGTCAGCAGCGTGAAGGGGCCCGCAAGGGCCGACGCCTGCTGGTGCTGCGGGCTGTTCGAAAGAGATACCGCGGCTCCGGAACGTAAGGGCACTGAAGGAACACGGATGGTTTTTAGTCAGTAAAAGTCTGACACTCCCTTACGCTCCACCCAGAGCGAAAGGCGTCATTAGATGATTTTCCATCCGCAAAAAAAAAAGCTCGTAACAGTTGGTATCAGAAGTGGGATTAAATCATCCCGATTTTACCTAAGGACGACACGGAGGGTGTCCATACCCGATGTCAACGCCAGCAAGAGACGGACCAGAGATGATTTGGTGGTGCAACACCGCAGACGTCGGAGGGCCAAATGCTGGCCACGGAGGCTGGCCCATCAGCAGCTCCTACATCCGCAACACCTGACTTAGGTGCTCTGATGATGATATTCCAAGAACAGGCCCGCCGTTTGGAAGAGCAGCTGCAACGCGGACAGGAGGAATAGGCCTGTCGGTTGAAAGAGCAGCAGAAGGAACAGGCGCGCCAGCAGGAGAAACAGACACGGCGACAGAAGTAACAGGCCCGTCGTTTGGAAGAGCAGTTCAAAAGCGTGAAGGACCTTCACGCTACCTTCGGGAAAGAGATAAGGGAGGTGAAGGATAGAGTTGCTCAATATGACAACCGCCTGTCGGAAGCTGAAATCCGAATCAACCAAGTGAACAACGTAATGGTTAACATAAAGAAAACGCTGGACGACCTCAAACTTGGAAATAAAATTACAACTCCCGTAGTAGCTACAACACCTTCGATACGTGGATTCAAAGTGCCACCGTTCGACCTGACTTCTTCATGTTCGGCCTACAAAATCCAGTTCGAGGCTGTCACGGATGCGAACGGCTGGAATAAAAGTCAGGCCATGACTGCACTCAGCCTAGGCCTGCGCGACCAAGCCCTAACTGTTTTGTAACTCTCGGTAAGAAAGTGACTTACGAGCAGCTCCTCGGGCATTGGAGGTGAGATATGGCGACGCTCACCTGGAACACGTCTTTCATGTGCAGCTTAAAGATGCAATGCAGCAACGAAAACCTGCAACAGCGGGCCCTTGAAGTGGAGAAGCAGGTTCGAAAAGCATACCGTTCTGTGCCTGCGTTCATTGAAGGGAACCTGGTGCAGAAATTCATCGACGGCATCCGCGACCTTGAAGTCAGAGGTGCTGTGAGGCTCGGCCACCACGAGACGCTTAGGGATGCCTTGACCCATGAACTGGAGGTGGAAGCCGTGCGGCAGGATCATCATTCCCATCGCAGATGCACCTCAGCAACGAGTGGAAGGACAGCTTACAACATGCACAGCAGGAAGATTCGGACATCAAGCCGATTCAGGAATAGATGAAGGCCAGTACTCCCAAGCTCAAACGGAGCGACGTCTCAACGATGAGTTTGACCACGAAAAGCTATTGATTCAGCTTGCTGATTGAGGATGGAGTTCTGTGCCGTAAATGGGAAAATGATCGAGGAGACAGCTGTCATTTGCAAATGGTAGTCCCTCAAGCTAAAGTACCGGATGTTCTACAGTTGTACCATAATGGTTGTTCAGGAGGTCATCTGGGAGTTAACGAACTCTACCGAAGATCCTAAAGCGGTTTTGCTGGGTCCACTTTCATGGCGACATCGAGAATTGGTGTCGTAAATGTACAACTTATGCGCCTGTGAAGGGACCTCATACTCGTAGTAGAGGTGCATAGAAATTGTACAATGTTTGAGCACCATGGGAGAGGAAAGCCCTTGATGTTGCGAGGCCGTTTCAGAAAGGTGCAAGAGGTTCTCCTAAGATCGTCCATGTGGATCGACTGGCGCATTATTATTGAGCCAATAATGTTTGGGACGAGCATGTCTTAGGAGGGGGCAATGTTGCGTGCCATAATTAATGCCTGGTCACCACTAGCGCCATCTAGTATTGAGTGGCAGAACTAGGAGAGAACTTTCTACACTTAGTCGGTTGGGACCGGTAAGTGCTCGAAAATTCTAGATGTTTCAGTGGAAAAGACCTATATAAGGCCAGTAAAGACCGCAACCGGGCGAGTATCGACTTGGCAATTCAAGCGAATACTTCGAAGTAATATAACTGTGAACTAATGTGTTAGGAGTGATTCATTATTAGTGTGTTTTAAGCTGTAATTGGTGTTCGGGAATTCGTCAATTCTGGTAATTCATTTGGCAGTTTTTATTGTCACGATCCCTAAGCTCGTAACAGTAATATAAGAAAGTCGGATCACAATCTCGTCCGTTGATATCGTAAGAAGCTATTTTATGATTATATACTACAGAGAAGAACTGACAGCCTATAGAGAAAGATTCCCGAGTGAGAAAGGCCTCGCACTACCGATGAGATCAAACTTGGTTTGTTTACGTGTTATTTAATTTTTAGTCAAGCTATTGGCTGGCCTACATTACTGTATTGCTGCACTAAAAGCTCAAGCTCGTAACAGTATTAACAATTAAAAATTAATAGTACCTACCTCTGGTATGAAACATTCACCGAGCAATACGTAAGGTATGCTACCGGCTCCAAGCATGAAGGAGGAACAGTACACAAGAATAAGCACTGCAATCACCCACGGTGGCACAATACCAGTCTGCAGGAATATGCCCATAGTGCTGAGGCAAAGGGCTACCAATATTGACGAAGTTATCAAAAGGAACTGAAAAATGAAATGGAAAATCATTATCAAATTACAGCCATATGAAGACAGCGTGACAGAATCCATACAAGAAACCGGCCAACTACGGGACGGCTATTCATTCATCCATTAATGACAGTCTATAAAAGTCTAATGCTTAACCTAAGTCTCCACAAATATAGCCTCATAATTGCAAGTATTTTTAGTTATAGTTGCTATGAGGAAGACGCTGTTGCCCATGAAGATGGGCAACGGCGTCTTAACTAGAAGTAGTTAGTTTCCCCTTGTCGCATCTTAACACACCCAGCGGTACATATGTTGTAGTGAATATTCTAACCCTGATACTAGATCGTATGAAAGTCTAATTGGCTTTCGATAAATAGTGTTGGAACCATATCGTTTACGCCAGACGTAAAATATCCAGACCAACGACAAAAAGCAGCGTAAAAACTGTGTGACTTCTGATCCTAAACGTATCAATGAAGGCAAATTCTCCCTATAACGAAAGAGGTCTATTTTCAGGAGTCAACTATTACTGGCTGATGATGGTAATTATTATGATGATCAAATAACAAATGAAACTCAAACTAAACCGAGTTTCATTGGGCATGAAGCTTGATGAACAAAACACTCTAACTAAAATCTATGAACTACACCATAGATATAAGAAATAAGGAGATATGCTCAGTAGTTGAAAATGTATCGGAACCCGGTGTCTCTAGTTGGCCCCTACCACGCGCCAACTACTACATATGCACATCAGTAAAAGCAATAGATACACAATCGCGCACACACTCGCATTTTATAAATCAGAACATACTACACAACCAATTATAAACCTTATCTCATCATACGCAGCGTGCATTTACAATGCACCGTACAAAACTTATTCACACAAAAACATCTGTCGCTATCATTCACTCACAAAAGCCGGCAGCGGCTGCTTCACGAAATTATCGTGTGAGTGAGAGTATCAGTAAAACACTTATCCATTGCGCTATTATACCAGCTGATTCACACGTCGATTTGTACTAAGCAAGCAATGGTTTTTGTTTCTAATGAAAACATTTGATTTGGTTTTTCATCGTGTTTCTAGTACCACGAAGTAATGTTTTAATAAATTGAATAAGAAAAACATTAATATTTTAGTACTTTCGTGTGAAATGAGATGCCATCTTTCATGTAATTCACAATACAGCTGTTATTTTTGCAAACAATCACAGAACAACGCGGCATTTTGTCAAAATCACGAGCAGTGAAGACGTCACAAGTTGACATTCGACTAATTACCGAAACTGGCATCAGGCCGCTTTGCGGCCAGATGCGTTCGCAAGTGCCACGCCTCCTTGCCATATCTCCTATTGTTTATATGATCTGAGAACTACACACTGGCATATTGCACTAGAAGTGCACTCAAAGGCAATATGCTTTATATCTATTAGTCACTTAAAAACTAAAATGATGAGGATGACGATAATTAGTTAAAACATAGTTACGTACCTTTCTTCCATAGTTGTCAGCCACCACAAGACTTAACAAACTTCCAACGAGGAGGACCGTACCTAACATAATGGAGCATAAATGAGACGACAGACTCGGGGCTGCTTGGGTAAAAATCTGTTTTGCATACGCTTGCACAGGTATCATGCCCATCATGGCCTGCAAACACAGCCATTGTTATGATATTGTTGTTAAAATAAATTACAAAACACAGAATACCAGCGTAAAAAGAATGTCTCTACACTAACCATACAAAACACATCGAAGATCATTTTTATTGAAAACGAAGCGTTCCATCTTTGTCCTCAGGGGCGACAAAGTATCTGCATTTTGATTCTTAATCGAACATAAATGTATGTCGATGGGCCACAGCACTCACTAATCATCAGGTGGGCTGTATACTGGTTTGTCACCCCCATTCTTAAATAATATTGAGGCAAAGGAATCTCTTTTGAGGGTGACCTTGTAAAAGTTGACTTGTAAGTTTGGAAAGGAATATTTTTGCCAAATCGGTGTTTTGTGACACTGCTCGTTTGTTTGTAAATGTACACCGTATATCTTAAATTTATCGACTATACAGTTAGGATATTAGTAACTACTACTAGTAAACTATATTTGGTAATTATGTATGTAAGACACTTCCACTATGATGACAACACCCCAAACTGAAATGGAGTAACGACCTGATAAGGACTGTAGGTAGCCGATAGATGGAGGTTACTTTACCCTTACCCTTACTTTACGGCAATCTATGGCTAAACCCTACGTTCAGCAGTAGAATTGTAATGGACTGTATTGTTAGTTATTGTGTGATGCTAAGTTATTTAATTACCTGCAAAACAAGGCATAACCCCACCACGATGAATCCTCGACGTGACGATGCTGATAAAACTGTAAGAAATGTAAGACAGCAATATGATTAAGATCTGAGTACCTGAAAGCGAGAAGTAAATAATTTTTTATTTAAAAATTGATTAGGTACTTGATTTTTAACAACACATAACATCAACAAATTACGCTTCTGTAACACACAGCACACTGAACCCCGTGGAAATATCATGCTCTCACTAGTCTGTGAAAGCTTTTATTCCGGATAAACCGACTCCGGATTTCCCTGTGGCTCTACCAATTATTACCTATGTAAGTTTCACCGGTTGTCAAATTCAGATTGCTATTTTACTCTTACTTGAGGTTGCCTTGTGATTTAAATTCGATCGTAGTTCATTAAATTTTGAATTTGAATTAGCTTAAGAGCCAGTGGGTGGCAGACTTACGGTATTTCAATAAGCTTCACATTTTTTTCAGTTAATCTCTTATACCTGAGGTACATGAAATGGGGATTTTTAGGCGGTCGATGTGGGGACTCTTAGGTGTTAAAGGTGTAAAAATGACCAAAAACGTGATAGTAATAAGTCTGCCGCTTTGACATTTTGAAATATATTTAATAATAGTTACCGAAATTTAACATTGGCAGACACCTATGATGGTCTCAAGGTCATGGCAGACAGTACTTATTGGACATTTATTATTTTTATAACCCGTAATTATTAGTAATTGCAATTAATATGAAAAGATAGTATTTACTTTCAATTAATGTATGTAACAAATAATTTAAATTAATCTAACGACTGGATTAGAGTGAGTGCTATAGTACGCGCTTATGGACGTCCAGAAGTTAGTTGTCTGCTTGGGTGATAGACATTGTGGGTCTGATATTTATATATAGATATTTCTGTCATGAAAATTATACATGTCAAATAATATTATCAAATATATATATATATATATATATATATATATATATATATATATATATATATATATATATATATAAATTGCAACTTTATTGAAATAATGTATATTATTAATAAAAAATTGTACTTTTCAAGCTGTCTGCCATGACCTTGAGACCATCATAGGTGTCTGCCATTGTTAAATTTCGGTAACTTTTATTTAATATTTCAAGATATCAAAGCGGCAGACATATTACTATCACGATTTTTGGTCATTTTTTTACACATTTAACGCCTGAGCGTCCCTATAACGATCGCCGGTCAAACTAAAGTCCCCATTTTATGTACCACAGGTATAGGCGATTAACTGAAAAAATGTGAAGCTTATACCGTTAGTCTGCCGCCCACTGGATCTTAAGCTATATATTAAACAAACTGTATTTGAACTGTATCTGAATTATTCCGAACATTTCCTCAGAGTACTATAAAAGAGCCGTGGTAGCTCAGATGGTTAACGCTCGCTGTAAATATAACAGAACGCGAGTAACCCGGGTTCGAACCCCGCCGGCACCAATGAAATTGTTAATTGCAATTTTAAGTGCTGATTTACCACGTACTCGGCGGTGAAGGAAAACATCGTGAGGAAACCTGCATGTCTGAGGAATAAGAAAAAAAATATTTCGAAGACATGTGAAGTTCGCCAACACGCATTGGGGCAGCGCGGCGGACACTTCCTTGCCCTAAAACCCCCTCAGAAATGAGGGGAGGCCTGTGCCCAGCAGTGGGACGTATATAGGCTGTAACATTACTTTACTTTACTTTACTATAAAATATTCAAAGAGATGCAACATCTCTTCGCAGTGCCAGTGTGTCAAAACAATTATAAGGAGCTCGGTCGCCGACGATTCGTACAGCTCTGCTGCTGCTTGATTGCATTCAAATGAAAGGCGATGACATTGGGGAGCTTCAGCCCAGAGATAGGAATAGTATTTCATGCGCGGCCGAACGTGCGCCTTGTATAGTTGCAGGCGGTGTGCCGGAAATACTGTCCTGCTCCACTGAGCACGCCAAGCTTTTTAGAGGCCAATTTGGCCTTCTCTTCCAAGTGACCACGAAACTGCACAGGCAACAAGGGGAGTGCCTTGAAACTTAGGAGATACGACGAAGAGGTTCTTTTTAGCGGTAAACGCGCAAACTTGTGTATTCTGGGGATTGAACTGTATTAGATTTAGACGCCCCCAGTCCAAGACTTTGTTCAACAAAGTCTCGACCTCAGACACAAGTTTGTCCCGGTACACGGTGACTTTTTCCCGAGAAAAATTGGCGGTGTATAAAGCATCACTAATGCTGTGGTCCGCATAGAAATGAATGTTACTGGTTTGCAACATGTCATTGATATGCAGAAGAAACAATGTTGGTGATGACTTGCAGCCTTGTGAAACACCAGCGTTAGTGGGCTTGTATTCGGAGCATGCACTGTCTACAACTAACTTGATAATCCAATCTGCAAGACAACTGGTGATCCAATTGCACAATTTCTCGGGAAGCCTATAGCAAAGAATGTTTTAGGCTATATAGCTATATAGCAAAGATGATGCTCAAGGTACCGCATGAGCTGACTGTTAATAATGAACTCCATAATCTTAAAAAACAAGAAGGTGATGGCGTTAGGCCTATAGCTGGACGGATCAGAACGGTTACCTTTTTTAGGGATCGGCTGCATGAAAGCTGTCTTCCATGATTTCGGGACTACGCCTACAGAGTAGGAGTAGCGGAAAAGACGCGTTAAAACAGGTACCAACTCTGGAGCACACGTCTTTTGCACAATAAGTGGACCGCCATCAGGCCCACTCGACCTGTTGACATTCAGTGCTCCGCACAGCGAGTGTTGGGTAAACATCACATCCTGCATGAAGCACTCGCCAATTCTGCCGATTTGATCTGACTTTGCCTTGACAATGACACTTTTGAAGAATCTGGAGGCGGAATTGTACATCTTTTAAGAGCGCTGGTATTTGTATCCTGAGTGTCGATGCCTGAGCCTAGGCCTGGTAGCACTCTTTTTTATGGTGTAATGCAATTTTGCAAGAGCGACCAAATCATGGTTGGGTTATGCCTTCGATAGGTACCACAGATGATGGAATAAAAAGTTCCATTCCCTGTAGCACTACATCAGCCACAGAAACATCAACAACGCTGGGATCATCCGGTAGAGAAGCAAACTCGCCTCCAAGGGTAGGATGCAAAAAAAGATCGAATCCCAACCCAATCGGCTGGCCTATAGTGCCAAACATGGCGGCAACCTGCAGAACGCAACCGCGATGGGAGCGTGAGTGGCACCATGCTCCGGATCAGACAATGGTCCGAGAAGCCAAGAGGGGCATCGACGGAGACCTGACATCCATCCGTATGAGAGGTCAGCAGAAGGTCCAACAGAGAAGATACATGATCTTCCACATCTAGGATCCACGTGGGCGAGGTAACCAGTGTGTCAGACTATATGTCAAAGCAAAATCATTAACAGATCTACCCGCATGATCGGTTAAACAAGAACCAAGCCATTCAGCGTGGTGGGCGTTAAAATCACCAAGCAGCACGATCTCTGCGGATGAGACCTATTGTAGCACGGAGTCTGCAGCCATTTGGACATGGTCGATGAGTCGTTCTATGTCTGCATTGCCGCTATCGGACCCATAGAGGGATGGTCGTCGGTCCCTGTAGACACGGGGATGGTCATCGCTGTCTATGCTCAGCCATAAGATGGACAGATCCGTACCTTCAAGACTGCCGTGGCGTCGAAAACAGATGTACTCTCTGACGTACATGCAAACTCCAGCCTGGGACACATAGGAGTGTTCTAATTTGTACCCCGCGTAGGAGAGATACGAAGTATTACTCGGAGAAAACACCTGTGTCTCGGTTAGAAATAGCACGGCCGACTTCGTCGTTTCGAGATGATTGTGGGGTGCCTTTGACGCAAAGCTTCTACTTAACGCTGGTCTTCTGTGAGGCCGTGGTACCATCCCGGTTCGAGTCGGTCCATACGTGCCACAGCACTCTCCACTCTACGACTCTACCACTGTTGAAAAAACATTAAGCTACTTACATAGTAATTTGAGAGATATCATTTTCATTTTAATTTCTGGAGAACCATCACCCATATTGAGCTTTTCCTTTTCCGCTTCTTCTGTTTTAGGGTTGTCTTCTGTAACAAAAATGTTATGCTTTACAAATTTTGATTCGGACTTTGTTACATTAGTGCTTTTCTTGGCACGGCTACTACTTTAAAAAAATTCAAATTTCTTGACAGAAAAACCCAATTACTAACATTTGGTCCGACCCGTAATTCGAACTCAAGATCACACATGATCAGGCGTTTGCGGCCACAAGACCAATGAGGCTGTCAAATATGGTTAAGTAATAATATGGAAATGGTAAATCCTTAGCGATGAAATAATCAAATAAATAAAAATACTCAGGTACAAATTTATTATTTATATTTATATTAATTTTTATTTCAAATATTTTATAGGTGTTTGAATCAGAAACAGTTATATTTAATTATGTATGTACTTTATATATACGAGGGTGGATTGAAAAGTACTCGGCCTAACACAGATCCATTCAATTCTAAAAATCAAATCTACCCACATTATTTAGTTCAGTTCAGACTAGTTCATTGTGTGAAGTTCGAAACGTGTGCGATAATTAGTTGTGATTTTATAAATTTATTAACAAAGTAATCGGACATAATTTCCGCGAATGGAGCAAATCGAGCAGCGTGCCGTCATTAAGTACCTCCATAAGAAGGGGCTATCATCAAAAGCCATCCATGATGACATGGTCAGTACATTAGGCGATTGTGCTCTGTCATATTCATCCGTTAAAAAATGGATAGCAGAATTTAAGCGTGGTAGAGAGAGTGTGAAAGATGAACCCCGCTCTGGAAGGCCTTCGACGTCAACTACTGACGAAAATATTAAAAAAGTACTTGATTTAATAATGGGAGACCGCAGATTAAAAATTAGAGAGATAGCCAAGATTATAGGCATCTCTTATGAACGAACTCAAAACATCATTGTCAACGAGTTGGGTTTCCACAAGGTGTCTGCGAGGTGGGTTCCGCGACTGCTTTCAGTTGAACAAAAAAGGACGCGATTGACTATTTCACGCGACTGTTTGGAGTTATTTGAAGCCGATGCAGATGATTTTTTGAATAGTTTTGTTACTATGGACGAAACATGGGTTCATTACTGTACACCGGAAACAAAACAACAATCAAAACAGTGGAGAAGACTTGGTTCACCACCCCCTAAAAAGGCTAAGTAGATTTTGTCGGCAAATAAGGTGAAGGCTTCAGTATTCTGGGACTCGAAAGGTGTGATTATGATTGATTATCTTGAAAGGGGTCAGACTATAAACTCTAATTACTACTGCACCTTACTACGTCGTTTACGAGAGGAAATAAAAGAAAAACGTCGAGGAATGCTCAGAAGAAAAGTCCTGTTTCATCAAGATAACGCCCGTGTTCACACGTCAGTACAGTCAATGGCTGAAATTCACAACTGTGGCTTTGAACTGTTACCGCATCCGCCGTATTCACCTGATCTGGCACCATCAGACTTCTTTCTGTTCCCTAACCTAAAAAAGCACTTGGGAGGTCAAAGATTTTCGACAAACGACGAGGTCAAAGCATCTGTAGACGCATATTTTGACTCTAAGGAAGAATCATTTTTTTCAACGGTCTAAATGCTTGGAAGGGGAGGTGGCAAAAGTGTATTGAACTTGATGGTGATTATGTAGAAAAATAAAAATATAACTTATTTAGTATGTGTTTATTTTCTTGGTTAGGCCGAGTACTTTTCAATCCACCCTCGTATATATATATATATATATATATATATAAAGTACATACATAATTAAATATAATAATATATATATATATAGTGCGTTGGGGTAAGATCGGTGATGGGGTAAGACCGTAAAATTCAACTTTCCGGTGAATTATGCTATATTTTTGAAAGCTAGCAGTATGGTACAAGACTCCATTTTATTTTGCCCCGATCTCGAGTTTCAGCCAGTCGCTCCGAAAAGTAGGGCGTGTGCTGCGCAGTATTTTATAAAACAAGGTAATTTTTGTATTTTTTTCGTCCGTCCGGTCTTTCCCTATCACTTTTATTTGCGATTTTTAGCGACGTCCGGTCTTCCCCTTGATGGCCAATTCTTCATCATGCATATAAAAAATTATGCCTTGTCTTCGCAGACGTTTTAAGCAGAAACTGTTGAGTTTTGAAAAGTAAAAGCTTCTCATAGCTAAATTACGTGTAACCATTAACGATTTGCGCCATGTTTCAGAAATCTGACGTATATGGATGTCGAGAAAATAAAGTTTTTTTTTTTTATAGGATAGGGTGACAAACGAGCACACAGTCCACCTGATGGTAAGTGGTTGCTGCGGCCCATAGACATCTACATCTATCTTCCATTACAAATCAAAATGCAGATGCGTTGTCTCCCGTGAGGACTGAGATGGAATGCCTCATTTCCAGTAAAAAGGGTCTCCGGTTCTCTACACTCACCATACGAAATACAGCAGCATTAAGCTACTATTTCACGCTGGTATTCTGTGAGAGCGTGGTCCTTCCCCGGTTGAGCCGACCCATTCGTGCTACAACTATACTACTAATATAATTGCAGCATGGCTCTACCACGTAAAACAAGTTTTTGCCCGACTCTTTTAACTAGTCGAAAATCGTCCGGTATAATATATACGTATACACATATATATACATACATATATATATATATATATATATGTGTATATATATATATATATGTGTGTGTGTTTGTATATATATAACATATTAGGGCAGCATTAAGCATATTTATATATTTTGTATGTATATCTATATAATAATATATGTGTATAATTATGTTTATGACATGAAATGCAATGTAATGTTATGACTACTGAAAGATATTTTAATTCAGTGGCACTTTGCACCCACAATATCTTCTCTGCTTAGCCTGGAGGTAGACTGGCAGAGAATGCCTTGTTGCATTAAGTCCGCCTTTTTGTACTCGGTGTGCAAATAAAGCATATATAATAAATAAATCAATGTTGACTCCCAATTCCGGAAAGAAACGCTTTTCCCCGTAATTAAATTCGTTTTGAGATCTTTATACTCCGATCTATCTGAAAAGATCCCACATGAAAATGAGGATTCATATACTATTTAAATTCATCAACTCCTGGCTTTTATGTATTTTTGTATAGATTTTACGGTGTTAAATTGCTCTTACGATTTTTAGGATCTTTTTAAATTTACCAGAAGTTTTTGTTGACTTTCAATATTTGCAGGTTGCCTCAAAATATTTCCATGTATTGTAGAGCAACTAATTTAGCATTTTAAAATTGCATTCAACATTTTATTGCCGTCAGTGGAGCCCAAGAATGAATACTAGTTCTTTGTATAATTGTGCTTTATTTGCACAATAAGTACAAAAAGTGGACTACCAGTCCACTGCTTAGAAGCAGAGAAGATCATAATCATTTCATAAACACTCACGCCTGTTACCCAGTGGGGTAGGCAGGGACTACAGACTTTACGACTTCAGACACGATCCTGACATACCTCTCTCACCTTATCCACATCCATATACCTATGCATTTTTTCTCTGCTCTGTTCAAAAAAAAAGCAGAGATGATATTGTAGGTGTAAAGTGCAAACAGAGAGAGAGTCTTGTAAAAATTTGTGTTCTCGCAAAATTTACAGCAAAACAAATATTTTTTTATGGTATTTAAAAAAGAAAAAGTAAAACATATTTTACATTTATTAAAAGTGTAGGATTTGATATTTTGGAAACTGTTCTTTAATTTTATTTTGGTGTTTAAATTAATAGCTCTATTAGGCGTTAAACATACCTATGTTTAGTTTACATGCGTAAAAGGTCTTATTAAAGCCTCTGCTATGTACAAACTATAACAATATCAAGAAAAGTATTCAGATCACATTTATTTAAATATTGTCTACAATAATCTGATCTGGTCATTTTTTTTATAAATGCTTTAATTTTCTTATTTGAAGGGCTTAAAAAGTTGTAATTTCATGATTTTTTTTACTGCAAATATCTATTTTTTTCTATTAGAAGTATAAATGTGGCAAAGTCGTACTTAAAACCACATAAAGTATAACTATTTTCAAGTAAATTAGAAATAAATAAAATAAAAAAATATTATATTTTCGTACCTTTTACCTATATACCATTTATAAACTAGAAACGCGTGAAAGTTCGCTCAGTTCCGCTGGGATTTCTCGGCGTTCAGACGTGTGCTGTGTTGTTCAACGTTATTTTACCTCTCGCTCGCACGGTTGATCTCTTTCACTCGCGCAGCTCTTATGGACTGACTGGAGCATATCGTGAAATTTGCTCTACATAAATATATATTATTTTTATTTAATTGTACATATTAGTTCTAGTTTTTAGTAAGTGTATTAGTGTTTATATTAGTATTAGTGTGTTAGATTAATAATTGACTTTGACTTCTATTTGATGAATTTCAATTTACAACCAAAAGAAATAAACGGAAAAAGATGGATGGAAAAAAGAGGAAATATCCTTGTGTCAGTATAAAGAAATGTAAAGCAAGAGTTGAAGTGATGAAAAGAAACAGACTAAGCAGGTATGTTGAATACCACCTAGGTATAGGTGAATAATATTGATATAACTATAGTTAACAAGTGTAATTTGAGATATTATTTATTGCATTATCTATACACATGTACAACGTGCTGCTACAAAGGCGACGTTTTTATACGTGGCAGAGCCATGCTGCAGTTATATTAGATGTATATTTGTAGCACGAATGGGTCGGCTCGACCGGGGAAGGACCACGCTCTCACAGAATACCAGCGTGAAATAGTAGCTTAACGCTGCTGTATTTCTTATTGTGAGTGTAGAGAACCGTAGACCCATTTACTGGAAACGAGGCATTCCATCTTAGTCCTCACGGGTGACAACGCATCTGCATTTTGATTCGTAATCGAGGATAGATGTAGATGTCTATGGGCCACAGCAACCACTTACCATCAGGTGGACTGTGTGCTCGTTTGTCACCCTATCCTATAAAAAAACACAAATACGTTTTCACATTTTCGTTTCATGAAGCAATTATATTTCAATTAAACGTTATTATTTACGGATTTATTTAAATTTTAGAAACTAGCATCTTACTTATATAATAATACAATCTATACTTAGCTACTTAGAGAACTCTCGGCGAGCGGGCAGCGCAGGTAGCGCAGGCGACGCGTGCCCTCTTAATATTTTTGTGAACGTTTCCGCGAAAAAGACGCTTACCTATTGTTTTATTTACTGTAATTAGGATAGTGATTAGTAGGGTTATGGTACTGCGATAAAGACACTTTGTTTTCTAATCTAGTAAGTACGTTTACATTTCTTTAGATACGGACGCTTTTATTTGCTCATTACTATCGATATTGATGACGAATAATTGTTTGGAAATATTCTTATCTGTCTTTATGTCTGTACGTGTGTGTTTAATTTATCCCGGAAAATGCAAGGTCCGTCTCTATTATAATAGAATTCATTAAAATAATATTATTTTTATTTTGAATTGTCAGTAATTTATTTACGCGACCTTTATTCTTTTCAGTAATGTCGGTGCCACTGCGTCTACCGATCGTCAACCGATGTCAAATATTAGCAACACTTGCCCTCCAGTAAATGATATTATGCCATGGTAACATTTTCTGTTGTTATACATATACGCTAATGCCATATTAAATTTAATACTTACATATACAATACATATAATACTTTTCGTTTTAGTGATCAAGAGAACAAACCTCAATATTCTTCTAAAAATATTTTAATACAAACTAATGGTTCTAAGGAAACAAAAGGACAAGATTAGCAAATAAACCCCAAAATAAAAACTCGGTACATATTAAGTTATTTTTGAGTAGCAATTAGCCAATTATCGTGCATAAAACACATGTTGTACATGTTTAATATCTACAATATCGCATTTGTTTTAAAATTGTTATTCATTTTTATTTATCTACACAAATAAATACTTGCAGTTTTGCTATTTAAAAAAGCTAATAATAATATTTATTTTAGGTTAATAAAAAAGGGGCGAAAACGAAAAACCACCAGTGGACTGCCTTTTAGAAAATTTAAAACTAAGGTAATAAAAATATGATAAATATGGGCTCATAAAATTTGACTCGAAGAAATGTAAAACAAAGCTATTATTTTTTTATTTTAGCGCCAGCCGTCCGCACGTGAAAAGGGTGATTGCTTCGACTTCAATGTAGAACGTGAAGAAATGTGTAGTAAAAAAGAGGATTTTGATTTAGAGGGACGTAGAATTGTCTCTATACGATACTTCTTACTTTTTCTGCAAGCAGTTGCTGATCACAGTCATGAATCATTTGGATGCAGATTTTCAAATTTGAAATGCATCGGTGAGACGAGAAAAGGCTTTATTTCAACGTTGTGCTTGAAATCTCAATTATGTAACGCAGAATTTAATATAATCCCAATGCTAATTACAATGTTAATCATGGTATTGTCGCGGGCACGATCAGTATTGGTTGTGGTCTCGAAAATTTGAACGAACTAGCGGCAAACACTGATATACCCGCTATGTCAAAACCATTGTACAATAAAACAAGCCAAGTTGTTTATGACTGGTTTCATAAAACAGCGGATCAAGAAATGCGAAATCTTATTTTTAATCTTGTAACCAACTAAATAAATAAATATTTGTGTATTCAGTTATTCCTTTGTTTGAATTTTTTATCGATTGCCTTCTAAATTACTTCTCTATATGATTTTTCTTATAAAAAAAACTGGTATAAGCGCTATTTGTATGTTCAGTTTGTATAAAAAATCATATACATCCGATTAGACGGGAGGAGTTGAAATGATGGAGCTGAACCACATTTCATATAAAAAAAATTAAAATAAAAAATTGACTGATTCATAATACAAAATATACAAGGTAGAATCGTAATTTGTATGAATGAAAACAAGAAGCAGTATTTTTTTCCTTCGGTTGTATATACCCTTTTTAAACCTACAACCCGTATAAATATCACTAAAAACGACATTTATGAAATATAAAAGGGTAAAAAATTATACTACCACAACAAAACTAAAAGGAATATTTTTGGAAAAAAAAAAGTTATATATTTAATGAAATAGAGCAACTTCACGTACGATCTCGAACGTATTTATGCACGGGGGAGAGCGCCCCCTCTAATGGCTGGGAATGTAAAACAGCACAGCTAGACGGAAGCCTTAAGTTGAAAAGTAAGTTCTGTCTTCATAGTAAATGTATACCTAATAATAACCGTCATAAAACATACTAATATACATATTAATATAATTAGACAAAGATAAATACATACATACATACACATATATATAGTGTGGTCTAAAATAAGGATTCTTTACTTTGTAAAAAAAAAACTTTAATATCAGTTATATTACGGTTATAGCACGAATGGGTCTGCTCGGCCGGGGAAGGAGCACGCTCTACCAGAATAACATCGTAAAACAGCAGCTTAATGCTGCTGTGTTTCGTATGGTGAGTGAAGAGAACCGGAGACCCGTTTTAGTGGAAACGAGAAATTCCATTGTAGTCCTAGCGGTGACAACGTATCTGCATTTTTATTCATAGTCGAAGATAAATATAGATGTCTATGGGCCACAACTACAACAAGGGGATGCCCCTTACCATCAGATGGACCGAGTGCTCGTTTGTCACCCTCATTTTATAAAAAATGCTGCCTATACATACATATACTTTCTACAAACTATAAAATTAAAAATCCCAGTCTCTGATCCTACGGTTCTACTTCCACTTCGGTTCTATTTACAGTCTACATTACGTATAACAAGGCCTGTATAATATATACGAGTATCACATACGCAAATGTTCACTTATTTTAATGTAAACGCTAGAAATAATATAAATACTACAGACAATTGGGTACTCTTTAGTGTTTATTTCACAGTAATAACATTCCACTTAGGTTGGTATAAATTTAATCATAAGTTATAAAAAGTTACGTTATTTAGAGCTATTCAGCTAGGTACCTGATTTAAAAAAATATCTTAGACGAAAATTCTATTATATCAGTTTTAAGTATGCTTAGAGTTAAATATTGTTAAGACAATTATATGCGATAAAAGATAAAATCTCTAGGTCTCTTCGCAAAAAAAATTACGCAGTTTTCTGCCCGTGAACATAATATAACTATATAAACAATATAAAATGTTGGTATAAACAATAACTCGATAATTTTTTTACAGAATAAGTACAACAAACGATCACACAGTCCACCCGATGGTTGGAGGAAGCTGTGTCCTATTGACATCTAAATGTATGATCTAAAAAGTGTCTCCAGTTCTCTAAAATCACCATACGAAACACAGCAGAATTTTGCTGTTATTTTACCCAGGTATTCTGTGAAAGCGTGGTCCTTCCCGGTCAAACCGACTCATTCGTGTGACAATCATATTTGACATACTACGTTAGTGCTTCATTGCATGTTGAAATGACGTTCGCCTATAATTATTAATGCACCTTCGAAACATGGTTAAGGTAAACCCTTTTTACGACAGCAGAGGGCTAAGTCCATCAGTGGACTTTTAAGGACTGATAAGAAAGACAAAGAAGATTGAGAATGAAAAATGAAATGAATTGAGAATGAAAAAAAAAACGTGTGCTCTATTCTTATTAATAATAATGTCCTCCAGACCGAATTTCGGCCACGGCGGCCAGCCTCAACGGAGGCTAGCCATCGGCGCAAGACAGGATTATAGTGCCCAAGTGTATGCGCAAGCACAGGTGCACACTCTATTCCCTCACTCTCATAATCCGATGGGACGGTAAACCGACACGACCGGAGAGAGATCAGGCGCAGGACCAACGGCTTTACGTGTTTTCCGAGGCACGGGGGTGAGACACCGCCAACTTCCTGACTCCGGGCAACTACTGAGAATTTCTTGACGGAAAAAATAATTAATTTTTTGGCCCGACCCGGGACTCGAACCCAGGACCTCATGATCAGCAGTCGCACTACTACAACCAGTAGACCAACGAGGTAGTTTATTCTTATTATCGTCTATATGATTGTGTGTGTTTGAATGGGTCCCTGCTTATGAAAGCTTAGATCCATAATTGAACCCGGTAGGTGGTGCTGTTGTTGAGATCCAGCAATCACCTGCGCCCAGAAGCATCGCTAGTATGATGGCCTAGGAATCAATAAAACAAATTAAGTCCATTATCTAAAAAAATATTAATTCCTCCTTACCAATATTCATTGCTATTAATTCGACAGCAGGCGTTATCTGTTGTTTTAGCCGCGACAGTTCCTCCAAAACTATTTTGGATGCTGGCGACTCTCCCCTGTAACGAGCTATGGCTAGTCTAGCATCCTGAAATATCATAATTATACTCTTAATTCATTTAATCCTAAGCTATGCTAGTTCACCGTGCAGTGTCGTTGTAAAAATATCCACTACCCCATATCGTCACATGGGTGTCGTAGGAGGCGACAGACGGTAACAAACTAGAAGACGTGCAGCAGCAAAGTCTTCGTAATTACAGCTAGAAAATTAAAAAAAAAAACTGCATTCATTAACCTACTCGATGAAAACTATTTGACGTCCGTTGGGCACTTTTGGGATGGAGAAAGAGCAACTAAACTGGCGTGATCATCACATTCAGATACATAATGTTTGAGTGACGGGCCTAGGCGTTCCCGAGTTCGATTCCCAGGTCAGGCATTGACCCTATTACGCGAGATGTTACTAGGTGGACTGTATACGCGGGTTCCTGATACTTCAAAACAAGATGGCTGACGTGGCACGCGACAGTTTTGGACAATGCACTCGCTCTTCCAAATCTATTGCTTCACCGGGGTCGAGAGGAAGTTCTACTTGAGCCGGTAGGAAAGAAAATGTGACGGGATAACAAACAAACAAAAAAGGCTCACGTATGAAAACTAAATAAAAAGGGAAACGCACTTACCGGCGTGGAGTCCTGATGCCGCAGACGACGCTTCTGTTCTGTGGTGCGTTGGAAGAGTAGGTGCGCGACGATTACTCACACTACGTGAGGTGGTTTCTTCTATGGCGCGACTGCCACAGGGATGCGATCGAAACTAGCGGTGCGAAGGAAGAGAGCACTCGAAGGCTGCGGGCGCCCCTTTATTGAGTCAGCCATCCTATCACCTCATCCCGGTGGGGCACGCGTTTTCATTGGCCGACAGGTGGCATCGCATTTTAGACCCTCCGCCCCCTTCAGTGCGTGAGGAAGGAATGTGGATGCGGGAAGGACGGACCCTTGGCGAGCAATATACCCCCGAACAAAATTATAAGAATGAAAGTAATGTTGAAAATCCAATTTAAATTATATATTATATCAAATGTAAATTAACTTTTATATGATGTAAGTATATGTATTTATAAATTTGTTTGTATTATATAAATATTAATCATTCTTTACCATTAAAATATAAAAATGTTGTTATTCTTGAATAAAACTATATTTTCGTATTTTATCGTGGTTAATTAGTTATTTTTACTTATTTTTAAATTCCCGACGTTTCGGGCGCTTTACACGTGGGTGGTCACGTCACTGAGATGTTTGACGTCCCAATGCAATGTCATAGTTAGCCCGGCTACCTTGAGTTTTTGAATATTAATTTTTGGTACGATCTACGCAAAATGAGCTTACAGTACTTCAAGATACTGTAAGCTCGTTCTGTGACCTCCGTGAAAATGGGTGCTATAAAGCACCATGGTCACGGGGGTCAACAAGCAACAGGAATTTAAAAATAAGTAAAATAATTAATTAAACGCGATAAAATCCGTAAAGAAAGTTGTATTCAATGTGTAATGTTCGCGCCACGCGCAGTGTGAAGGGCTTGGCGCGACATGTGCTATCGGTTTAAAGTCGGTAACTTCAAGGCGCGGCGCGGAGCAGCGTGGCGCGCATGTCTAAAGCCGACTTCTCACTACGTGTGTTATCACGAGCCCCGCCGGGCCGAGTTGATTTATATGCGCAAGTACGCGCCGCACCGCTCTAATGAAAACGGGTGGCGCGGGCTTGTGCGTGGCGCATGCTTGCGCGTACAAATCAGCTCAGGTGGCGCGGCGCGTGGTAACATACGCAGTGAGAAGCCGGCTTAAGAAGTTTTCACTTCTGACGTGCCGTCCTACGACTGACAGATTTTTTTATCCTCCCCGGCCTCTTTCAGATGCCCATAGTACGAAATGAAGCCTAACGCCGCTATCGCACGCCGGATTATCAAAAACTATTTTCACTGAATACTAGGTACTACACTCACCTCCTCTCTGTTCTGCCGCAAAAGGTAAACGGGACTTTCAGTTACCGTCATCAAAAGCACCATTCCTAGTATGCTGCATGCAAGGTTCACCCACACGATGTATCGGTAGGTCAGACACCAACCCATTATATAGGATAATTGAACGCCTATACAATACATTGCAACTGGAACTGGGAAAGAGAAGTATATTTAAAGATGACCTTCTTTTATTCTTCTTTATAATTCAAAGTCAAGGTCACCATTGCTTCTACAAGTCCCTCCTGCGGACACACTAATCGACTATTTTTCTCCCAGGAGTTACAAATTATCCTTTTAAAATATATACAGCCATAAATTTATAAGAAAAAAAATAAACTTGAAAGAGTCCACTGACTAAATTGCCAGACTTTGCACGCGAATATAAATGATGTACCCTACGTCTCGCAATATCCATTGATTCCATCCACTTCATTCATTTCGTACATTTCACTCACTCCATTCGTTTCAATCATTCATTCATTCTTTGTCGCTATTCCCTGTCGACGGTCTGGCTTTTAACATATAAAATAAACGTGATTTTATACTGCCATCAACTGGAAGCTCACAGCTTCCAGTTGATGGTCTATCTGGGATTTCCCATAAACGCCTGTAACACTAACGATAGATGATAAAAATGACCATAAATAAGTGAATCGAAGTGAACAGAAACTTGAATTTCCGGCTCTAGTGGCTTCGGACAGCAGAAACTTATACTGCCGTCATAAGAAAAAAGGGCGCATCTAACAATTGTTGACAAAATGAGTTAAATATACCATTCGACTCAGGATAAAACGTCGCATCTACTCAATTTTTTTTAATTCTCTAAAATATCAATATTTTAGAAAATACCGTAAGAGTTTTGGACGTAACTGCTGATCAAAAATGTTATTATTTAAGTAGAAAAGACGTATTCAAATTCAACATAAAAGAAAAGACTTATTTAACCAGTTGCTCCGTCATCTTTAACAATATTTGCATGGATCACTTAAATGAAAAGACATAAGTTAATACTGTTACGCGCTCCAATGACTCAAATCGGCGCACTAGCGCCATCTAGTCTCGAACCGAAGAACTAAACTTCTTGAAGTTTAAAACTCGAACTCTCGGTACCTTGCGCGTGTTTACTTGAACATTCCGGATATTTTGCTAATTTATATAAGTAGGCGCTGCAAGATGCGATCGAGGTAGACTTAAACTCGGCGACACAAGCGAAGCTTCGGAGCGGAAGTAAGTGAATTAGTGTGTTTAATCATTAGTGTTTTAAGTTTTAATTTGTGTTAAGTAAATTAAAGTTGTAATAGTGGCGATGAACTGTCCACTATTAACAGACTCCGAGTGGTTTTCTTTAAGGTGGAGAAATGAAACTACTGCTTATGTTTATGAATGTACTGTCGAATGGGATTCGGAATGGAATATCTTTTGCATCAACCTTGCCCATATTTATATGGTTGGCTCACTATTGATTTGCCAATGGTAACAATTAATATTTTGCCTAGCCAATTATATTGCTTATTTTATGACCAATGAAAACTATTTAAAATATACAATTATCTACGTTTCGTTTCCCGGCGTGAGACTTGTTTGTTGTTCACGAAGCTACTTCGCTGGACCGGGCTATATAAGACATGCAGATCGGTGCGCACGCGTAGTCGGCGGGCGGCGGCGGTGTGGAATACCGCTCCGGAACAGCAAGAGGAAACGAACTGCGGCGTTGAAGAAACGGCTCACCATTGGTCTACGGATACGTGACGATAGCGGCGTGTGAAGTCGGTGTGGCGCTGAATGATATTTGCGGCTGCTTCTTGTTTCTTTATAAGAACGTCAAATTATCTATATACAGTCCGCAGTATCTCAGTAGCCAAGAATAATTAGGAAATAAAATGTTTTTTTTATTTATTCTCGCCTTCCGCGTTATGGTAGCAGCGGAGTATATATTATTTATTCCCGTTTCGGTTTGATTAATCTGGCTGCTACATCACTCTCCCCCCAGCGAAAGCGTACCGGAGGCTTGACGACTCGCCCGTATTTCGTAGTTTTTAAAATAGGTTTCAACTGGGTTGATGTAGATGATGAAGTTTCAAGCTTCCTCGCTGGTGGTTTTGATGATGATGATGAATCCTCTGCAGTATCCTCGTTAATAATATAGGCAGGCTTTAGTCGGTCGATCGATATAATCGTAGATTTCCTTCCGGGTATTTGTAGTTTAAAAGTCTTGCTATTTCTCTCTAATACTTTATACGGTCCATCGTAGGTAGGTTGAAATTGTTTTTTCATTGCGTCGTTTCTTACAAAAACTTGTTTGCATGTTTTCAAATCTTGGTGAATGAATACTGATTTATTATTTCTGTGTGATTGCATTTCGGTGCATTTCAACGATAAGGCTTTGTTAATTGATTCTCGAAGTTTAGTTACGAAATCGTAATCCATTTCTTGTTTGTTTGACGCTGCTGAACTGAAGAAGTCACACGGCAGCCTTATGCTGCAGCCGTAGGTTAGCTGAGCGGCGCTAAGACTAGTGTCTGCACGCGGTGTTGCTCGTAGTCCGAGTAGCACTGTAGGTAGCTCATCAATCCACTTTGTATGTTGAGATAAACGAGTTTTGAGTGCAGTCTTTAATGTACGATGCCATCGTTCGATTATTCCGTTTGACTGAGGATGGTATGCTGTTGTACGCGTCTTCTGTATTCCCATAGTTTGAAGAAGTTTGAGGAATAGGTTGCTTTCGAAATTCCTTCCTTGATCCGTTGTGATGGTTTTAGGTGATCCGAAACGGGTAATCCAATTTTCATAAATTATCTTCGCGACGGATTCGGCTGAAGTATCATCGGTAGGTATTGCTTCTGGCCATCTTGTTGTTCTGTCGATCATTGTTACGAGATAACGATGTCCTTGCGGTGAAGTAGGTAATGGTCCAACGATGTCAACGTGCAAGTGTTCGAATCTCTCCGTGGGTGGAAATGTAGCTAGACTACTTGATGTATGCCTTTGAACTTTGCATTTTTGGCATTGAATGCATTGCTTCGCCCAGTTGCCAACATCCGCTTGCATTGCAGGCCAAAAGAATTTTTTCAGTGATGAGTTTTCTTGTTGTTCTAACACCTGGATGACTAATGTTGTGCAGTGCATTGAAGACTTCGCGACGACATTCTTCTGGTATGTATGGTCGCATGGTTGTCGTTGAGGCTTCACAGTATATTGGTAGATGCGTCATTGGCATTGTAACTTGCTTGATGGACAAGTTACTTTGCTTCGCTAGATGTTTTATGTTGTCACTATCTCTGTCTTGTGCTGCGGCGATCTTATGATAGTCGATTGATGTAGGGCACGTTACACTGTCGATTGGTACGCGACTGAGTGCGTCGGCAACTATGTTGTCCTTTCCACTGATGTGACGTATGTCGGTCGTGAATTCACTTATGAAAATAAGTTGTCTTGCTCTTCGTGGTGTTTCCGATAGTGATGGTTTCTTTGGAAGTACATATGTTAATGGCTTGTGGTCGGTAAAAACGATCAGGTTTCGACCCTCGAACGTTTTTCTGAAGTGCTTGATAGCCATGTAAATAGCGAGTAGCTCTCGGTCGAATGTACTGTAGTTACGTTGAGTATCGGAGAACTTCTTCGAAAAATATCCAAGTGGTTGCCATTTCCCATTGCTGTATTGTTGGAGAACTGCTCCTGCTGAGAGATCGGATGCGTCGCTGAAGATAGCAAGGGTTGCTTCGTGTGATGGGTGAGCGAGTAAAGCTGCATTTTGGATCGCAATTTTACAAGCTTCAAATGCCTTCGTGGCTTCATCGTTCCATTTGATTGACGTTTTATCTTTTTTCTTCGTGTTGTGAAGGTAGGCGTGAAGTGGTGCTTGGATTTCAGCGGCTTTAGGTATGTGTTCTCTGTAAAAATTTATCATCCCAAGAAAACGCCTTAGCTCTTCGATAGTTTTAGGTTTTGCATAATCGATGATTGCTCTGACTTTTTCGGCAGGCGGTTTTATTCCTTCCTTGCTGACGGTGAAACCAAGAAATTGAACTTCTTGCTGTCCAAATATGCATTTCGAAGGGTTGATTGTGATTCCGTTGTCTTCTAATCGCTGTAGCACGGTGCGTAGATGGGTTTCGTGCGTTTCTTTATCAGGGCTTGCAACAAGGAGATCATCAATAAATGCGAAAACGAAATCCAGTCCATGAAGTACTTCGTGTATGAATCTTTGGAAAGTTTGACCTCCGTTCTTTAATCCTGGGATCATTCTTGGGAATTCGAATAATCCCATTGGGGTAATTATTGCTGTCTTCTCTATGTCTTCATCGCGGACTCTTATTTGTTGGTAAGCTCGGTTGAGATCGATGGTGGAGAATATAGTCTTGTCTGATAGTTGATGAGTGAAATCCCTGACTCGCGGTATTGGGTAGCGGTCAGGAGTGGTAATAGAATTCAGTCTTCTGTAATCTCCACAAACTCGTAATTCTCCGTTCTTCTTCGGTACAATGTGAAGTGGTGATGACCAAGGGCTTTTGCTTGGACGGCATATTCCTTGCTCAATCATGTTTTCGAATTCCTTTCGAACTTGCTCGTATAGGTGTGGTGCGATTGGACGTGCACGACAATGAAGTGGTGGTCCATTGGTGTCGATGAAATGCTCAACGTCGTTCTTCGGTGTTAATTTCATTGAAGTTATTCTTGTGATACCAGGGTATTCTTCGAGGATCTTGTGATACGGTTGTTGCACATCTATGCTTCTTATTGTGGGCAGATTGGTTGCTTGTACAAAAGACTGAGATGCAAGATTGGTTTTCCCGTCGATGATTCTTCTATTTTTGATGTCGACGACCAACTGGTGATGTTGAAGAAAATCAGCACCGATGATTGGTTTGCTGACTTTAGCGACGATAAATCTCCATTTGAATGGTCGGCGTAGATTAAAATCAAGTTCCATTGTTTTTTCTCCATATGTAGGAATAACCGTATTGTTTGCTGCATAGAGTTGAAAATCTAGTGGCTTCAACTTCTGTCCTTGCTTCGGCGGTAACACTGAGATATTTGCTCCGGTGTCGATAAGGAAAGTAAGCTTGCTTTTTTATCGGTGACGAAAAGACGGTAGGACTTTGCTGTTACGCTGGATCCCGTCGCATCGAGCGTACTAGTTAGTTTTCCGTAT